TGTCAATGTTTTAAAGCTGGGCTTGACCAGCCGGTTGGACCGGTTACGAGAGGTACCGGGTCAAGTCATATGTTAGATCATCATGTTGTTAAACCAATTGAAAGTGTAACCACACGACTGGGTCACTAACCGAACCAGTGAATTATGCCTCTGATGTGGTTCATTATATTTTTCCTTTTCAAGAAAAGCAGTTACAACAAAAGCAACATTTCGATGTCTAAAATAATCTATCCATATAGAGTTCGAATTTAAAATCAATGTGTTTCACTTCATGATTAACAAGAATCTCTCGCTTCTATCTTTATGCAATGGAGCGGTACGGTTGGGGTGAGATTATACACTAGACATGATTTTGAACTGGTGTATGTTTCACATAATCTGATTTGTTATTCATAAATTGTAGTGCACACTTTGCAGGTAAGTATGAAGAAGTCTGAGTGCAAACATAGTAATAGAACGATGGTTTCATTCTGTGCAGCAGAAAATATGATGTCTATGTATAAGAAGAAATGTGAAGGCCCTGTGAAGAATGGGGTAAAAGTAGGATTTGTTAGCGCTTTGTTCTTGTTTTTTACTTATTGTTTTGGGATATGTCCCTATGAATTATGTAGAATTATGTAGAATGTACAATCACATTTATGTGAGAATTTGAGATATAAATAAAAATATTTGAACTTTTGGTTATTTATAAGTATTAAATTATGATTGTAATCAATGTATCATGTGTATGATTTCATAGTATTAGCGTGTCATTGAGTTTTGTAATATCGTAGTGTCATTAAATTTTGTGATACCATAGTGTCATTGAGTTTCGTGATACCACAGTATCATAGAGTTTTGTGATACCGTAGTGTCATAATTTGGTGATATTATAGTGTCATAATTTAGTGACACCTTTAGTGACACTTTTTAGTGTCACCAGCCCCCACTTTCATTACACTTTTTTAGTGTCACAAAAACTTTTAATGACACTAATTTGGCGCCACTGTAAGGCATTTGTCTAGTAGTGGGCCACAAATGAAATATTTGGTCTCTTGATGGTAAGATAATTTAATTTGCCGATGAGTCTTCTATATTTTTCCTTGTTGGGCAAAAGATCTCCCTTTTCTGATAAGAGTTTAACGTTCAGATCCATTGGTGTATCCTTTGGCCTGCATTCTAGCAAACATGTTTCCTCGAGAATATCCAAGGCATAGCTTCTTTGTGAGAGGGCAATTCCATTTTGAGACTGCGCGACCTCAATGCCAAGGAAGTGTCTCAACTTTTCCAAGTCTTTTGTTTGAAATTTGCTAAAGAGATGTTGCTTGAGGAGCGCAATTCCTTGTTCATCGCTACCTGTAATGACAATGTCATCAACATACACAACAAGATAAATACATTTGTTGCATGCAGAATGTCTGTAGAATGTAGAATGATCGACATCACTACAACAACACTAAACCTTCCAAACCATGCACGTGCAGATTGCTTCAAGCCATATAACGAACGACATAATTTGCACACCATACCAGACTCCCCTTGAGAAATAAATCCAGGTGGTTGCTCCATATAAACTTCCTCGTGCGGATCCCCGTAAAGAAATGCGTTTTTAATATCCAATTGGAACAATGGTCAGTGGCTCAATACTGCCATGGATAAAACCAAACGAACTGATGCAATCTTTGCTACATGAGAAAAGGTGTCAGTGTAATCCAAACCGTATATTTGAGTATACCCTTTCACCACAAGGTGTGCTTTAAAACGATCAATCTTCCCACCACGCCCAACTTTATCTGTGTAAATCCACCGGCATGCCACCACTGATTTGACAATGTGGAGGGCACTAAGTCCCACGTCCCACTAGAGTGAAGAGCCTCTATCTTAGCCAACATGGCTTTACGCCACTCCAAGTGTGACAATGCCTCATGTGTGGTTTTAGGAATGCATACATGAGACAAGTGGGAAATGAAAGGATAGTAAATGGGTAGAGAGACGGTGATTACTCAAGATGTTATATATGGGATGTGGATTCAAAGATGAACGCGTACCTTTTCCGAGAGCAATGAGCAAATCATCCTGAGTATTTCGGGTGCTGGAGTATCTGATGGTGATGATGTGGGATCCATCATAGGGGAATCAACTAGCGACTAGCGTGGCCACGACAGGCACAATGGGAGAAGGTCGAGAATGGTGATGATTTACTTGTAACAGACGATCTGCTATAGGAGAACAGTTTGGGTACAAACTGATGGGGTCTCTGGATGGGGAACTTGGAGTCTCTGGATGGATAGGTCGGAGATATGAGCTGAAGTCCAAACATGATGGGGTATCAACTGAAGATAATAGGAAGTAAAAGGAAGACTCAATGAAAGCGACTTCGGCTGAAACAAATGTTTTTTAAGTAATGGAGAACAACAACGATATCCCTTTTGGAGTCATGAATATCCATGAAAGACACATTTTATTGATCTAACCAACATTTTAGATAATCCAGGTGTAAAATCATGAACAAAACACACACACACACACCCAAACACATGAGGTGGTAATAGAAATAACTCACGAGTAGGAAAAAAGACATAATGTGGAATTTCATTATTAGGAATTGAGGAAGGTGTTCTATTTATTAAATGACATACAACGAGTACAACACGAGCAGTATCAAGTATATGAAATTCTACCTCATCAAAAGTAGTAAAACCAAGTCTTTAATCTCATTAATCTAAACCACATAAGTCGTTCATCTTAGTGTTTTAATTATTAAATCAAATCAGGACCAAGAAAAACAGCATAGCCAGACGTGGAACGACTACTATCAGGACAACCAACCCACTCAGCATCGGAGTATGCCAGAACCGAGTGTGGGTGCGGCGACGGTTGGAGATGTAGACCATGAGTTTTAGTGCCCTGTAGATACCTAAAAATTCTCTTAACAGCTAACATGTGTGAGGTACGAGGAGCATGCATAAATTGAGACACCAAGTGAACAACATATGTAATATCAGGTCTAGTCATAGTTAAATACTGCAATGCACCTACCATGCTACGGTACTCAGTAGGATCAGCAAGTAACTCACCATCAGTGAGAGATAGCTTGGTTCTAGTAGGTAAAGGCGTGCGAACAGATTTAAGTGTATGAAGATGAAACCGGGTGAGAAGATCTGACACATATTTGGCCTGAGACAAAAATAAACCAGAAGAATTCCGCACAGCCTGAACCCCCAAGAAAAAAATGAATATCCCCTAAATCTTTCATAGAAAAATATTCCCCTAGAAGAGAAATAAATGTACTAATAAGAGTAGAGAAACTGCCAGTGATAATAATATCATCCACATATAAGAGCAAATAGATGATTCATGTAGCCTGACGAAAAATAAACAAGGAATTATCAGCACGACTACATACAAATCCATGAGTGAGGAGAAAACTACTGAACCGATGAAACCATGCCCGGGGAGCCTGTTTAAGACCATAAATGGTCTTGCGCAAGCGACAAATGTGATTAGGGAATTGAGGATGAACAAACCCGGGTGGTTGACGCATGTAAACCTCTTCTGTGAGTTGACCATGGAGAAAAGCATTTTTAACATCTAACTGACGAATAGGCCAATTAAAAGAAACAGCTAATGTAAGAACAATGCGAACCGTGGTGGGTTTAACAAAAGGACTAAAAGTTTCAGAGAAATCCACCCCAGCTTGTTGCTTAAACCCTTGGGCAACCAGACGTGCTTTATGACGTTCAATAGAGCCATCAGAACGATATTTAGTTTTATAAATCCATTTAGATCCAACCAAATGTTTGCTAGAGTCAAACGGTACTAGATCCCACGTTTTATTAGCGATAAGTGCATTAAATTCCTCAGTCATAGCTGCTCTCCATTTAAGATCCTTATTAGCCATAGAAAAACAAGTTGGATGAGGAACCAAAACCTCAGTGTTCAAATTAAAAATAGTTTTGGGTTTGAAAATTCCTTATTTAGAGCGAGTTTGCATGGGATGAATATTTTGAGTCAAGGAAGTGCCTGAAACCGGAACATGAGTAACCTCTTCACCGCCAACCTGCGAAGATTCGATGGAAGCAGTGCTTGCCGGCGAAGCTGGGGAAGACGGAGCAGCCGTCGGCGAAGGTAGCTGCCGAGCCAAAGAAGCTGATGTCGGTGAAGAGGCATGCATCGAATGAGATGAGCCGGTTTCTAAGGAAAAATCCAGCAGGGGTAGCTACGGCATAGTAGCGGCGGACGACACAGGAAACGACCGAGAAAGGGACAGAGGACAAGGCTGTACGGTGGAGACCTCAGGGAGACTTTGTGACACTAACTGAGAATAGGGAAAAATGTCTTCATCAAACCTAACATGACGACTAATATAAACCCTACCAGTTTTAGGATCTAAACAACGATAGCCCTTGTATTCAGAGGCATATCCCAGAAAGACACACTAAACAGAACGAGGAGATCATTTATTGGCTGACGTGACATTAAAATTCGGATAACATGCACATCCAAACACACGCATAAAAGAGAAGTCAGGAATCCGGTGAAATAATTTTTGATAAGGAGAGAGGCCTGTAAATTTTGTGGAGGGTATGCGATTGATAATAAAAGTAGCAGTCAAAATTGCCTCAACCCAAAAGGTGGCTGGCATACCAGCATCAATAAGCATAGTCCGGGCTAGCTCAAGTAAATGTCTATGTTTACGTTCAGCTAGACCGTTTTGCTGAGGAGTATCAGGACAAGATTTTCTAAAAAGAATTCCATTAGTATTAAAAATTGACCGCATATTAAAATTATCAAACTCACCCCCTCCATCACTTTGAAATTTTTTAATTTTATGTTCTAATAAATTCTCCACCAGATTTTTGAAGGATTGAAATTGATGAAAGACTTCACTTTTACGACGCATGGGGTAGATCCAAGTAAAACGAGAAAAATCATCAATAAAAGAGACATAATACTTGAACCCAGATGTAGATAAAACAGGAGATTGCCAAACATCAGAATGTATTAAAAATAACGGTTTACTAGCACTATGAAAAACATCCTGAAAGGGTAATCTTTGTGATTTACCCAATCAACACGAAGAACAATCATGATTAAAAGAAGATAAACTACAAAGTTGACCAGACTTTTTAAGACCATCTAAGACTCGACTATCACAATGTCCCAAGCGACGATGCCACAGTGGTCCAGGCGCCGCGCTAGAAACTAAAGCCAAAGCTGATGAAGAAGATAAACGAATGGGATAAAGACTGCCGCTACTAGAAGCTCTGAGAAGAGTTGCCCCCGTTGTTTTGTCCTTAAGCAAAACAGAATTTTTGTCAAAAATAACCATGCAATTATTGTCAGAACATAATTTTTGGATGGATAACAAATTATATTTTATTTGAGGAACGTGATAAACAGATCTTAAATGGAGAGGCCTTGAAAGAGAATTAATAGAAACATCACCAATATTTTTAATGGGTAAACTAGTGCCATTTGCAACAGTAACATTAAGTGGTCCAGAATAAATAGATTTATTGACTAAGTTACCTTCCTAAGCGGTCATATGCGCAGAAGCACCGGAGTCTGGAAACCAGACAGCGTCATTAGCATCACCCATGGGTGCAGCAAGAGCTGGAGCAGTGGGCTGAGTGAAACGGGAAGGACATGAAACTGCAGAATGACCTGGGGAATAGCAAATTTGACAAACAGCTGGCGGTGGAATGGAACCAAACTGTCCATCAACTAAAGGTGAGCCTGCATAGCCATGGTTAGTACCATAAACAAAATAGGGATGCGCGTTTAACGATGAAAATACCGAATTACATAAATTGAACCTGGGCGTCCGTGAGATGTGGAGGCTGAAAAGTGCCCTTGTGGATTGTAGCCGACCACTGCCTATTGTCCCGAACGCTGCTGTCCACCGTACCCCTGTTGTTCGTATCCTGGTGGGCCATACGGCTGCTGTCCGTACCCAGGTGGACCAAACGGTGGTTGGCCGTAACCATTTTGGCCAAAATTTCGGCCTCTGCCACGAGGTCCCCGACCGCGACCCCTCCTGCCGCGACCCCGAGCAAACAGTGCACCACCACAGGCTTCTTGTCCCGAACCAGCGTGAGCTTGAGGATGAGGTTGAGTACCAAACGCCACAGGTGATGGAGGAGCCTCTTGAGAACGGAGATAGGCGAGGCGGTTCTCCTGCTCAACTAGCTTGGTCCGTAATTTTTCAAAAGTAAGGCCCTCGGGAAAAGTAGTCAAAGTAGTGAAAATGGATTCATAATCCGGACCCAAACCTAGTAAAGTTTGCTCAAGAAGATCTTTCATGGAGACAAGGGAATTAATTGTGGCCAAGGCATCAACAATTTTCTGAATTTCACGCATGTACTGTTCCATGGATTGATTTTCTTTCTTTTTAGTCGTAGTGAACAAGCGTTTTAATTCCATAGAATGAGCCATACTGGCTGCCATAAAGCGAGATCCTAGACATTCCCAGATGGTAGCAGAAGTGCGTAGAGTATGAACCTCAACAAGTATATCACGAGATAAAGTAGCAAACAGCCAAGAACGAACTGTCTGATCTAACTTTAACCAATAATAGTACTCATTGTTCACAACTTCTCTACGTAAAGCATCAAAAATAAATTAAGGAGGGGTAGCAATAATACCATCGAGAAAGCCTAGGAGTCCATGTGATACCAGAAAAGATTCGAACTGAGTACGCCAGGGCAGATAATCTTCGACAGCATCCAGCTTTGTAGTAACAATATTGGTGACATTCGGTGTCGAAAACCCCATAGACTGTGCAATTGCTTCCAAAGAGTTCCGTTGGGTGACTGCCGTCCTGCCTATTGGCCGAAAAACTGGAGGTGGAGCCAGCCCCTGTGCACCGACGAATGTGGGGCCTCCAAACTGAGTTCGCGGAGGCGGTTGTACATCAGCCTCCAACCGAAGAGGGCGACGTGCTGTTGCTGGAGAGGACCAATCAAAAGTAGGTGGAATCCATGCCGAATCATGAATATCCGGATGACCGGTCGGCAACGAAGCGGAAAACGAGGACTGCACCAGGTCGGAGTTGGAGCCGAATGTCAGAGAAGTCCAAGCTGATGCCGGAGAATACGTGTTCGGCATAGTCACTGGATTAGGCGCTACCACGGTGACGGGCGCTGCCATGCCTTGCGGTGCTGCCGTCGTAGACGGCGCTGTAGTTGGAGTAGAGGCGGCGGAAGTCGACGCCTTGAGAGAGAAAAAAAATTAGGTTATAATTTTGGCTCGCGATATCACGTGAGAATAATGAAAAGGCTTGACCAGACTGGTAGCCTTGAGAGAGTATATTTACAGGTGATAAGTGTCCAAGTACTAGGATGTATGAACACCATAACGACCCCCCAATTCAGGAAGAGAGAAGCAGGGAGCATCAAGTTCTTGAAGGTGGCTGTGGTTCTGAGGGTGATAATTATCGAGATGACAGAATGGTTCTTCATTGAGTTTTGACTCTCTTTATTTTTACTGCCTACTTATGGACTTTATTGTTTGGAATCGCCAAGGTGCAACCTCATTAGAGGTGCACGATTGTTGATTAATTTTTACAAACCTCACCTTCCCGCTGTGCTCGAAACTAAGGTGTCAGGTGAGTCGGCAGATAAGGTATGTACAAAGCTGATGTTTAGTAACTCGGTTTAGGGGTGTGCAAAAATACCGAACCGGCATGGTACCGAATCGAACCGGTATGGTACCGCACCGAAAAACGAGGTTTGAAACGGATCTTAATTTTTTTGTCCCGAATCAGACTGTACCGGTTCTAAACAATGCCATGACCGGTTCTCATTTTATGAGAATCGCTACCGGACCGAACCGGACCGAATTATTTATAAATAATTAAATTTACATTTATACAATTACTTTGACTAGTGCCTTCACACTTTCAGCGCTTTTGCTAGTTCATATGAAACCTGGAACCGGATCAATGTAAGGTTTAATTATTTAAATTAGTACTACTATAGTTTATCTGAAATTTATTATTTATGTAATACTACCTCAGTTCCAAATTGATTTGCAAAATTAACTTTTCTTGGTTAAATAGTTTCATTTTATTCACTTATTGTGATGTCAAATTTTAATTATATTTAATTTGAGAGTTTGCAACTTTGAAAGATTTTAATGTAGTTTTTGAATATGTAAATTTGAATTGTTAAAAATTGAATTAATTATCAATAAAGAGGATTTAACTTTAATATTGGTTGACAAAAAAATATTGACTTTGCATATCAATTTGGGACGGAAGCAGTATGAAAATTGATAAATTGTGTAGATTTTTGGAGGATGACTAAACTTTAATTTTTCCTTAAACACTTGAAAAAAGTGACATTGTTTGGTATTGGTATGGTATAATACCATCCCGTTTGAAAATGAAACCGTATCGAATGAGTTTAGGTCTAAGATCGAACCGAACCGTTTGAATAATAACGGTATGGGTACGAGTTCGGCCAAATATTTGACCGGACCGCGCCCATCCCTAACTGGGTTCAAGTAGAGGCAGTGGGATTTAGCGGTGGCATCTGGGTCATGTGGAATGATGATTTAAAGCTACATGTCAAGGCTACGAATCCTCAGTTTGTAGTAGTTGAAGTGTGTAATGGAAGAGACTCTTGGATTCTTGTTATCGTGTATGCAAGTCCAGACTACCAACTTCGTAATGCCGTTACATGTGTGGAAGAGGTCAGCAACACAGAAACTTTTTCCAGCCGGAAGGAAAAAGATTTATGTTCCAGGCGGCATGGTTGTCACATCTAAACTTTGATAACCTGGTTCATGATAATTGGAATAAGAATGAGAAGGTTACATATAATGTTAAGAAAATGTCTGCTGTATTAACAGATTGGAATAAAGAGACCTCTGGCAACATTCTTTACAACAAGTCGAGATTGCTATCTCACCTTGAAGCTATTCAAAGGAAGCTGGCTTATACCCGAAATTATGGCTTAATCAAGTTAGCAAGGAAGCTTAAGGAGGAGCTCAATGACACGCTGAAACAGGAAGAAATACTATGGTTATGGTTTCAACAAGGATTGGATACGGTCTGGTGAGTTAAATACTAAATTCTACCATACCGCGACACAAAATAAAAAAAAAACAAAAAAAACGAGGAGCAACATTACTCTTATCTCAGAAAATGGGGAGGTGATTCAAGATCTGAATATCGCAAAGAGGCTGGTGGTGGACTATTTTAAGACAATCTTTTTTAAGCAAGGGGAGGATACTTATTTGGATCCTCCGTTGGCCCTCCGCCAAATTGAGTATTTGAAACCATATGAATGATGGCAGGCTTGATTTCAAAGTGATTCATGTTAACCTCCGGTGGAATAACACTGTCATGCTCATCCACGGGAGGCGTAACATAATCATACAACGGTTTCCTGATCCTCGTAACCTGATCCACGATCTGTTGATCGGGTACTTGCTCATTAACAACAACATCGTTTGACATTTTTTTTATTTTTTTACTGTTCACGTATGTGTTTTTCAATGTCAGAGAAGAATAACAATTCACAATTCGCACCACGTGAACGTGTGAGCATAAGCATAAGGAAATTAGGATTGGGGAGAGAGAGATGAAAAGAAAAAATAAATGCGCAATTAATTAATTAATTGAGGTTCGCACGTAGTCAATTGGTATAAACGGAATAAGACTAGTGAGCCCTTAAAGCAGTATGAATATATACAGTAATTCACCACGATGCGGCTGGGCCGACAGATATGATGATTTGAGAAGGGAAAAAATAGCTATAGTAATAAATGCAGTCTCCACCAAGATGCAGCTATGCCAACAGTCTGTGGATTATTAAGAAAAAAATAAAAATAAAAATAAAAAGTGCACTCCACCAACAAGTGGACACGGCCGACAAGCTTGGGGATGCAAAATTAAAAAAAATGTTGAAATTAAAGTGCGGAAATTAAATTGCGATAATATAAGTGCACAAATTAAATTGCGATAATTAAAGTGCAGAAATTAAAAAGTTGGGGTTTGAACCACCATAAAAAGAAAAATAAACGGTCTGACCATATAGGCGGAGTATCATTTGAATTATAATGTACAAGTAAGCGGTCCGACCATATAGGCGCAGTATCCTTTTAATTAAAATGTGCAAGTAAGTGGTCGAGCCATATAGGCGGATTATCCTTTGAATTAAAATGTAACAATATGTTCAATGGTCCGAATGTCCAGATATGTTCAGTCAACAAGTCCAACTCAAATGCTCAGGTAAGGTAATTAATCACAGTCCAATTTTTTTTTTTTTTTTGAACTTTAATTAATCACTTTTTTTTGTTTTTTTTTTACCTGCAAAAGTAAACAAGATAACAACAAAATAATATACACACAATTTACAATAATTAACTAAAATCGAAAGTTGGTGTGTAGCATATAATGGGCACACATCAAATATGCTTTCAATTTTTTTCAAAACCGCTTCCCCGTCAACAGCGCCAAGTTGGTGTGTAGCATATAATGGGCACACAACTATTTTTTTTACCCAAGGAAGTAGGGTGTCGAACCACAGAGAAGCGGGAAATAAAATAATTAAGCACAAACTAAGGATTAAAGTCGGGAATGCGTTTCTTTTGAATTTTGTTTGCTTGGAAAAGTAATTAAATAAAAGTGATTAAGAGAAGAGATTTTTATCAACACAAAGTTCAACCAATAGCAAGTAGAGGTAGAAATTGGTAACTAAATTTTCAATGCTCATTTGTAAGACATAATTGCTAATTTTATTCTTAGACAGATTGTGAGAAGTTGTAGATAAATATTTTAGGACCCAACACAAGTCACCTAAAATAAGTAATTAGTCAACATTTCCCAGTGATGGCCAAAACGAGACTAGTTGTTTAAGTGCAACGACAACCTTAATTATTAACTATATTATTTACCCAACCCCGTGGTGTAAATAATATAATTAAATAATTAAATTCTCCCGTAAAACTTCAATCCGGGACAAGGTAAAAGAAGTTTAACGGTGTGTTCAGAAAGTGTTCATTTGTGTATTTAACAAACAATACGTTTATGATTGAGTACTCATAATATATATTACAAACACAACATAATTAATTTTTTGGACACAACAATCTAAATAGAACAAACTTTACAATTAAAATCAATACAAATTCAAACATGATAAGAACAATTAATTAACCAATTTCTAGCCCCAAATTTATTTAGCTATACATGTTGGGAAACATAGAATAGATGAATCCATGATTAAAGTACAAGATTTAATGAGATAAGAAAGATCAAACTTGTGATAGATGACAATCCTTGGAGCTTTGGTGCTAATCTTGACTTAATTTTGGATAAGGAAGTGATTAGTTGTGGTTGAAGATGGATTGATGATTTGGAATTCTCGTGTAATCCTTCATAAAATGAGACAATGAGATCACCCATGCTCATATTATGATGTGGATATTGAATTTGAAGGTCTTTAAATCTCTTCCATGATTCGTAAAGAGATTCTGATGGATGTTGCCTAAATTGCTGGATCAATTTCTTCATTTTTGATGCTTTGGAAGGAGGATAGAACTCCTTCATGAATTCTCGATGCAACTTCTCTCATGTGTTGAAATAACTAGATGTTTTAGAGTTCAACCAACTCAATGCTTCATCCCTCAGTGAGAATGGGAACAACCTAAGTCTGATAGCATCAACAGAGGCTCCATTAAGTTTAAGAGTTTGGAGAACTCTCAAGAATTGCTTCACGTGGCTCGTGGGATCTTCATTCTTTGATCCGCCAAATTTGTTTGCTGAGACCAATGAGATAAGTGCTGGTTTGATCTCAAAATTTGCTGCATCCACACCTGGATAGAGAAAACTGTCTTGTTCCTCAATTTCACCTGCAACATAATCAAGAAGTCTTGTCCCTTGCTGTTGTTGTCTCATATATTGCCCTTGATCTTGTTGATTATGTGGGTGTTGGTAGTATTAGTCATATGGGTGAGATTGGTATGGGTGCATAAATGGAGGAGGTGGGTAAGGATATGGGTAAGTGTATGGATATGGTGAAGGAGGTTGGTTTTGGTAGTTTTGGTAGGGATGTGGTGGATAGAGTTGGGGTTGTGTTTGGGGAGGAATTTGTTGGAAATTTTCAAATCCTGGTGGTCTTTGATCTCCAACGAAAGGATTATGTCTATCTCTGAGAGTATCAATGGGTGTATTTTGAGGTGGGGTAGGATTTGGATTTGGAATTAGGTTTTGGCCATTTGGATTATTGGGATTGTTTTGAAAATCCTCCATGATCTGATCTGAAATTTTAAGTTCAAGGGTTCGTGCTTTTCTTCTTTTCCTTAATTCTTTTTCAAAATCAAGGTTTAGTGGTTCCAATCCTTCACTCCCTTGAGAGTGAGTATGCATACACTTTTTTAAGAGTTTTTTGTAGTGCACGAAAAATGATTTTTTTTGTTTTTTTTTCGTTTGCAAAAGTGATGAGAACAGGTAAAAAAATACTTAGTCTCCAGATAAATAATAACAAACGCTAATATTAACTAATAATCAATCAATAACACTATGTCATTCCCCGGCAACGGCGCCAAAATCGTGACATGCCAAAATATGTAATGTGAAATGATGTAAAAATGTGAATGAAAATGATGTTTTAATTGGCTTGTAACGATATAGTATAGAGTAAGTGAGTATCGTTCCGCTAGAGAATGGCTCACAAAGAGAACTAGAATTAATGATTGATTTTTAGCTAATCACAAATTGATACATTTTGCAATGGAGCTAAGTGATCGGATTTTTTTATCTTGTTTTTTATAAATGCGAAATTGCTAGGGAGTAAAATAAATCACAATACTTGGTAATTTAACAATTAATGATAGAGAAAATTACGCTTGGGCTAAGAGTGATTTTATTTTGATGTTCATAGTAATAAAGATTTAACTAATTAACTTAGTTACTTTTAGGTGTGTGAAAGATTTACAAATGGTAATCTTCTAATCGTTCCCACGACTTAGTTGATTATACTATCTTAAATTAATTCCGCTCCCGTGATAATTTTATTAAGACAGTAAAAAGTATAAAATCAAATTATCCTAAATTCCTTAACACTTCCGTGTAGCAATTTAGTGGGTGAATTAACAAAAGGGATTTTAATGAAATTTCACTCCCGTGATAATATTCATTTCCCAATATAATGTATTTAGCAGATTAGAATATTCAACCCAACACTCCTAAAATTAACCAAGTAATAGTTTTAACCAATTATTATCATATGAACATTAATAGTAAAAATTACATCTTGCCAAAACCTAAACTAATTTAGTTACACATAATTACAGTAAACGAAATAAAAGTAAAACTAATGATAGGCATAATTAATTTAATATATTAAAGAAAATAAAATGAGTATTTGAATAAGAACCTGAAGGCATAAATAATGAGCTGGAATAGAGAAAGTGAAATCCTTAAGCTGAGAATGATTCTGGCTGATACTTCTCAAATGAACTTGATTGTTGAAATTAAAGAACTAAAATTCTTCAAATGAAAATTACAAACTGAAATTTACAAAAAGTGTTCTTGACAGAATCACTTTTATTATATGACTACTACTATGAACAAAGCTAAAGAAGAGAAGAAGGAGATTTATCTCCGAATTGGTGTGTTTTCCGAGCTCCAAAATGCGTCTTTATATAGGCAACACAAACTCTCTTGAGCTTGAAGATTATTCAATAATGATGCTGGTGGAAATAATAATTTTGCAAATTGATTAGCCTAATTCCATTAGGTGCCGAAACAACAGTTCCCGTGAATCAGTTTGTTTTATTTCCTGCAAGAAGTTTGATAGCTGATGCGTTCCTCATGATGGTAAGATGATGATGACTATGTGGCTTTATGGTGGTAAGGAATTGATGACATGGCATGAGGTTATTGGTTGGAGAGATTGGCCATGGATACAATTATATCTTAGCCTTGTACGCATGGGTCCTTGCCAAATTAATTCATTGCATTATTTTTTCCACAAGTCTCGCCACATTTCTTTTCCTTCACTGTTTGCTTTCTTTGTCCATGACTTCTGGGGCCGGTTGACTGTGTGATCAATTAACTAGTCCACAGTTAACCCGTACATTTTGTTGCGCACAGTCTTGTTTATTCTGAAAAATGTATTCAGTTCTCTTGATAAAACATTTCAGAGTTAAAGTAAGGACCTGCTTCACTTTGATGATTTTTCCGTCTTCATTCGGGAGTAATATTTATTTCTTTTCAGAAATTAATATACGTCCTGAATGATCCTGAAACTCAAAAATATACCAAAACAAGTGCAATACCTTAAAAAACCCAAGATGATAAAAATCAATCCTTTTTATTAAAAAAATGAGATATAAAATATTAAAAGTGTGACAAAACAAGATCATAAATATGGTAAATTAGGAGTACATCAACTCCCCCATACTTAAGATTTTGCTTGTCCTCAAGCAAAAATTATATGTATAAATGAAGAGTGGTGAGAATCATAAAAATATTTTGCTTATCATCTGAAAAGTTTTGGTCAAATCTTAACTCTAACAAACACAAAGTGTGTGGTGTGCAAATGGTATCTAGCTTCGTTTGTTCAACCATGTAACATTGTGCAAAATAAGATTCTCCTATCAACTTATTTCAGACAAAACACAATTAAGATCAATTAGGACTCTTCACATTGGGTTATAATGGGGTCCGTGAGAAAAGGCTTATGAACAAAGGGAGTTAATGAGGAAACAAAAGAAATGAACTTGACATAAATTTAACAAATTTAGAGAAGTACTAAGTAATGCGTAGGAGCTTTTGGCAATAATCTATACAACACTTGTTATTTTCAACAGTTAGGGGTAGTAAAAAGAGTAATTTAATGTACAAGAAAAATATACAAAAGAGAGAAGCATATACACTAACATTTAGCCCTGTTCACTTTTTTTTCTTTATTTTATATTTTCTTTTTTTTTTGTTTTTTTCAAGGCTTTTTCATGCTTCTAACAGTAAGAATTTACAAGAATAATATGTACAATGATGATACAACAAGAACAACTACCCCTATAAATGAATATTAACAACTAAGTAATCACAAAAGTGTAAATGAAGATCCCTTAAGGTGAATGACACTCTCTAAAATCATTAAAATTTATGCAAATTCACTCTAGGGTGGATGGAAACTGTTTGGCTTTTTAGGCTAAGGGTCACATATAACAGGTTTTCATGAAAGAAATAACAAAAATAGGGTTAAGCGTATAACGCTTATTAAAAAAAAATGGCTCAAAGGGGTGAACAAGGGATATTTATCACATGGGTAAGGCTAGGTATATGGGGTTTATGAAAAATGGCCTATATCATTTCCTAATGTGCTAAGTCAGAAAATCATGTCAAAGAAAATAAAAGCACATAGCACTCTTGTTTTGCACAATCTTAAACATATTGAACAACAATTCACTAGATAACCATTACGTGCATGAGATGTTTTGTGTTTGTACAAAGTTTAAAATTTCACCAAAATTTTACTCAATGCTCAAAAATTATGATTCTCAATCCAATTATTAAGAGACAAGTCCCGCCAACAATCCCCATACCATGTGAAAGAACAGAATGCACGATTTGAAAGTTAAACAGATGATAAGGCAATTCACAAGCAAACAAACAAACATGTGTATTCTCCCACCACACTTAGGATGAAACATCGTCCTCGATGTGACAAATATATACAGGGCGGGTGAGTAAATGGGTGGGAAACTAAAATTATTCAATGCAAACGCACAAGCAAAACACACATTCAAATGCAAGTAAATAAACTTGGGTTGCCTCCCAAGAAGCGCTATTTTTAACGTCGTGTGCCCGACATTACCTGAGTGCTTTACTCATAAGGAGGATCATCCAGTCGAACAATGAGTTTCTCCTTTATGTCATCTCCTTCATGATATTGCTTAACTCTTTGGCCATTGACATTAAATTTCCTCCCCTCATTTCTTCTCTTTTCAGTTTCTCCATTTCCTCCCCCTCACAAAAGTTGTTACAACTCCCTTTCTTTTTTACACGCTCAACAAACTCTTCAGCCTCATGATTTTTTTCGACTTCCTCCTCAACACAAACCTCTATAGGATCCTTGTGAAAGATTCCCGTGAAGTCTCTCACAGATTCATCAACTATATCAACCCTCCAACAATTTTCCACACATGCAGGATTTTTTGCCGTTTGGAAAATATTAAACTCAACCCTTTCATCCCCCACTTCAATTTTTAATGTACCCTTTTTAACATCAATGATGGCACCAGTAGTGGCCAAGAAAGGCCTTCCCAATATGACAGGTACTCACTCATCTTCATCCATGTCTAGGACGACAAAGTCACAAGGGATGAAATATTTCCCAACTTGTACAGGAATGTCTTCAAGAATACCAACGGGGTGCTTAACAGATCAGTCAGCAAGTTGCATGGTCATCGAAGTAGCCTTGGGAATACCAAGATTAAGTCGCTTTCTCATAGAATAAGGGATAAGGCTAACACTAGCCCCAAGGTCACACAAAGCTTTGTTAACCATAAACCCTCCAATTATGCATGGTATAGTAAAGATCCTTCAATTTTTCTGGAAGTTTCTTTTGAATGATAGCACCGGATCCCTCGCTCATGGCCACTGTAGCTTTCTCCTCTAATTTCTTCTTGTTTGATAGAATTTCCTTCAAAAATTTGGAATATGAAGGCATATGTTTCAGAGCATCGAGAAGTGGAATTGTTGTGTTAAGCTGTTCGATCCATTTAAGGAATTTATCCCTCCTCTCATCAATTGTGTTTTTCTTTGCTCTGTGAGGAAATGGTAAAGGTGGAACATATGGTTGCAATGCCTTTTTCTTGCCTAGAGAATTGAGTTCTTCTTCATTACTCTCCTTTTGTGGTGAAGTTTCTTTTTCAATTATCTTTTCTTTTTCAACTACAAGTGGTGGATCAGAAAGTTGTTTTCCACTCCTTGTTGTGACTGCATTGACATTCTCCCTGGGGTGTTCAGAGTAGGCAGGCAATTTGCCTTGATCTTTGCTAGTAGATGGTGAAGCAAAACTAGCTATTTGGCTCTCAAGCATTTTGTTGTGAGCTTGAATTTGATTGAGTTGGGTGATGAGTTAAGAGAATTGATTAGTGATACCTTGCATCATTCTATGGAAGTCATTAACTCCAACAAATTGTAGTTGTTGTTGAGGTGGTGGTGGTGGTAATTGATGTTGCGGTGGGCACCCTTGTTGATTTTGAAATCCAGGAGGTGTTGGTTTGGATGAATAGGATGAATTTGCTACACCTGATGGGTTACTCCATGAAAATCCTGGATGATGTGTCCTCCCTTGAGGATTATAGTTTCCTTGATATGGTACTTGAGGTCTACCATATATAGCTTCAGCTTGTTCTACTGTGGGGCCAGAAGGAACATTTTGTGTAAGTTCAAGAAGATTGCATTCCTTAAAAGAATGTCCTCCTCCACATAGTTCACAGAACAAAACTTGAGCTAAAGATGATGATGGATTTGTTGATGTGCTAGAAGTTATTGATGATTGCTTCTCAGTGAGCTTTTGGACCATGGTTGTGAGAGAATCAACCTTTGCCGTTAAAGCTGTTGTTTGGTCAGCCTCATAAATTCCTGCTCCTAGTTTTTGAGTGGATCTTTCAGAATACCATGATGCACTGTTGTTACAAATTTTCTCAAGCATCTCTTTGCCTCTTTCAGGATCAAGCTCTATGAAAGCTCCATTAGCAGAGGCATCCACAACAATTTTTGAATTCTCATGTAATCCTTCATAAAATGAGACAATGATATCACCCATGCTCATATTATGATGTGGATATTGAACTTGAAGGTCTTTAAAGCTCTTCCATGATTCGTAAAGAGATTCTGATGGATGTTGCCTAAATTGCTGGATCAATTTCTTCATTTTTGATGCTTTGGAAGGAGGTGACGTGCACTTGTCGTGAGGTGCACTCAAAATAATTTTCAATATTAACACTTATACGTAGTATAGCGTAGTAGAGTTCGTATCCACAGGGAAAGGAATAATTCTCTTTTTATAAAACTAGTAAATAAAGGGGTTTTTTGAGATTGAATGATTTAATTTAAAAAAACTAAGATGAACAACCTATATGTGTTTATTTCAGAGATAAAAAAGGACTTGACATTGCTACTTTCCACTTGTTGATATATTTTAGTCGATCATTGTTATATCTATAACTTATTCCCTCTCGAATACTCAATCGGGGAGTATATCCACTTCATCGAGGGTAGTTATTAACAACAACCGTTCATTAATAACCCTTACTATTAATCAAATATAGAACAACGCCTTATACCGATTTAATAGTAGCATTTAATCTTTCTAACTCCTTGATGAAATCAATTGAGATTGATAACCTCAACACAACGGTTTCGGTTTAACCAACAAAATTAATCTCTCTTAAGTTTATTAACCACGACCGTGCATTAATAAACCGAAGTTACTTACTTGTGAAACCATCAACGATTAACTATCGGTTCGTTGATCGTTTCTAGTAATAATTAATATATGAAACAAAACTAGTTGATCCTTTAAGTAATGTTCAAAAATATTAATATGAAATATGAGTAGGAATTAATTAATATTCAA